AGAGTTGCAGTCTCACATCTCAGATGCTGCTGACAACATTTAATACTGTTTCTTCTCCCCTAGTACGTGCCGAAGGATCTCCTCCCAGTCTACAGGGACAAAGTTGTACCTGTTGCTGATATAATTACTCCTAACCAGTTTGAAGCTGAGTAAGTACTTATGTCCTTTTATAGCCACATAAACTTCAGGATAAAGGATCAGGGAAGACTGATACCCTTCCTTTATGTCTTAATACAGCACCACATGTATGTATGTGTCGGATTTGGGGTTTTAGCTCTTACTTTCGAGTGGTGCTTTTCAACAAACTTCCAACTGTTCTGTTTTGAAACCAATAAAAATCTGGGAGTTTTGTGAGGAAAAGATTTCTCTTGTTTTCTCTGGTCTCTCATTTTCATGATTACTTCTTGTTGTCTCCAGAGACCTATATCTAGGACAGTCTGAAAAAAATACCTCTCTTCCCTTGCCCATCCTCACCCATTCCTAGGAAAATTTTTATTATATGTCAGAATATCAAAACTGAGATAGATTGACTCAAACCCCCAAAATTAGACTCAGAAATACCACCATGGCAACATCTCATTGGAATTAAGAATTTGTATGCCTCCTGCCTGTCCTGTCTGCATAGCTATGACTCTTTGGTCAGGAGATAATCTGCCGTGATGCTTCACAGGCTGTGCCCCTAAGCAGAGAGAGCAGCCACATGGGAGATGGAGAGAAAATATTTGTGAGGGAATTTTGTGATACAGGGATCTCTACAGGAGGCAGGTTAGGACTGATGTGAGTCCACTTCAGAAGCACTGTGTATCTGCGTGCATAACTTTTAAAGACAGCAGTCTGGCATAGCAGCCCATGTAGCTACAAACCATTTAGGCCTGTATGATACAGTCCAAGTTTTCCTCCTTTCAAAGCGTTAACAAAGCAGTCATTGCCTGGCGAACTTGTGCTCTTTTGAGATTTCTGTTTCATTCTTAGGATACTCACGGGCAGGAAGATTCACACAGAGAAAGAAGCTTTAGAGGTAAGTAGGCGAGGAGTAGGATGTGCAAGATCTGTTTCTGTATTCCTACCTGCAGCGCTACGGTTTGCCATTCGTCTGTAACCTTGAAGTCACTTTGGCCTCTGTCCTTTCTCTCTGTTTACCGTTAAAGCTTGTGCGCTCCAGGCGCAAAACACTTTCAGTTCTAGCGTCAGACTTCGAAGAAACTTCCTGAAAGAACTACAGATAAAGGCATTTCAGTGGTAACGCGCAGGTCTCTGCGGGCTTGTTTTCCTAAAGCGTAAGAACGGTGGCAGCAGCACACGTGGCACGTAACTACACGCTGCCAGCGCTGTGGAAATGCGTGGAAAACCCCGAGTGGCTCCGGGCGATAGAAACCTGCGTGAGTCGCTCCCTCTGCTGTCTGCTGGCGGGTCGTGCGACAGCAGTGCTGAGTGTAGGGACAGCCCTTTCTCGTCCTCCCACACAGACCGTTTGCAAGGAAGAGAGCTCGCTAGCGAGCTCTTACAAGGATTGATTGAACACACTGCGAATCTCTTACTGATTGTTTGCTGCTGCTCTGTTTCTCTTCCTTAAATTGACTCAAAGGGATAACACCTGGGTTGCAAAAGGATAGATTGTGTAGATGAGAAACCAGGCTGGGAGTGATGGCTTTTGGGTACTTCCTGGTGCAAGACAGACAAATCTACGGAATTGATAGCTGCTGTCATCACCATGCAGAGATGATAGATGGTCCACGAATATACTGTATTGAGGTGTAAGGATTTACCCTTGTATGCAAACTGAAAAAAAATGAAAAGCTGTGGGGCTTGATGATGAAGGACAAAATAGGAATATGGTTTTATTGATGTCTTGAGAAGGGCTGAGCTCTTTGTTTTGTTGACTAGTCAAGTGCTTTCATAGGGGACTTAGGTTATTTCTTCCAGTTTGGTTTTGAACTTCAAAGGAACACAGAATCTTTAAACAAACAGCAGCTGCAGTGGCACCCTGGAGAGTAGCTGGGGTCTGTCAGCCCAAATGTTTGTTGTTTTTTTTCCTCCAGCAATGTCACGCAACATGGGTTGATGACCGTCTCTTCACGGCAGGAAGCAGCTCCAAAGATCTCAGCTCTTTTAATTCCACCCCTTCCCCCCCAGTTTTACATTTCCCCACTGTGCTGGGCAAGGGTAATGAACTGTGCTTCATGCCACTAGCTGCTAACTACAACTCAATTCTTCTATTCTCATCCTCACCAGTGGAACCACAGTCTTGAGAAGAGCACTGTTAACTGAGCAACCATTAGTTTTACGTTTGCATATTCAAGCTGCAAACACGAGTTGCATGTTAGTTTTCTGACAGTCAGTCTGATTCCTATGATAGCTTATATTTGTAATGATTTTTAAAAAAATCTAAAGAGTTGAAATGGCAATGTTTAAAATAGTTGCTTGCAGGATACTGTATTTTTAATCTATCTGTCTCCACAGCTGCATGTCATATATAGATCTGTCCTTCTGACTAATAATCTGTGCTGAGATTTGTCACCTTTGGAGGTGGTAGGAATTCTGGCATCGATTTCCATAGTGACATGCTTTCATTTGTTTCTTTAGCAAGACTAGTGATGACAGGATTGTCCTCTAACATAAAATTAAGTATGACATAATATTAATGTAGAGGGGCTAAGTCCTACGACAAGAAATATTGGTGATTAGGTTCTTGGTGAATTGTGACTGAGAAATGAAATTGAGTTTAATGTTACTTCACAGGTTGATTATGTCAGTGTGTGCTAGTGGATTCCCTGCTGCTTTAAAACCCAACTGATTTCTGTGCAAAGAGGTCTGACAGTTGAAGAAACTTGAAGGCTTAGACAAGAAAGAAAAGCAGAAGAATTAAAAAATAGCAGAAATAATTCCTTATCGTTCAACTGCATGAGTCATAGCTAGTCTGAGAGGATTTTTAGTTAAATTGTTCTGTGAGAATTAATATTTTGTCTGCGTTTTATGCTAAACTCATTATTTAAGTCATTCTTTCTTCTGTGAAATCAAAATCACTTCTGTAGCAACCAATTGTGATGTCAGAAGTAGAGTATTAATGAGTTTAAGAAAGGAACGCACAGAATGGAAATAGACCTGTGAAGGTACATCATTTACAGGTGTAATTTGGGGTTTGAAACAGAATGAGAAAGATTTAGACGGACACACTTGTGCCTCCCTGATTTAGCTCTTTAACTCTTCATTTTTGCTAACTCTTAAAGTAGTAGCTAAATGAGACTTCATGACCTGGAGTTATTGGCTTTCTAGCAAGTGTTTGAAGATGCCAGCTCAGCTGCGTATGTCTGTGTATTTGTTTCGTTATTCTTTAGATAATATGTTCTGAAAACAGGATGCAGATAAAAATTCTGATCACAGCTGAAACAGAGAGTATTCTCTTCAGAGGAGCATCCAAAGATAATACAAACAGAGATGCTTGTATATTTTAACAAGTGTGTACATTTAAATATGGATCTTTTGATTCCCCTATTTCAAATTAATTCCCCTAATTCAAGTGAATTATTTGAGTAGAAACTGTTTTTCGTTTTACAAAGATGCCAAAAATAAGGTGCTTGTCAAAAATCCTCAATATGATGAATTATGCAAGGTTTAATCAACACCCATTGCAGTCACTGATTCCTGCCTTTTTGCACATGAAAAGGTAATGGATATACTTCATGCCATGGGACCAGAAACTGTGGTGATCACAAGCTCAGATCTACAGGCGCCTCTAGGAAATGACTACCTAATTGCTCTGGGAAGCCACAGAAAAAGTAAGTCACGAACTTCATTAAACTATGCTTTCTTTTACACTGTTCTGTGCTTTCAGTTACTTTTTTAAGTAGTTTCATTAGACCCATCTGTAGTGCATGGAAGGAGCTTAGATCCCTAAGTGAACTACTCCTGCTACAGTGATATCAGAGAGCAGTAAGAATGGGGCTGCTCCATGAGAGAAGACAAGCTGAGAGCTGAGCGTGATCATAGCAGGAGCAGAGCACTGCCATCACCAACAGGGCACAGGCCCACAGTATCTGAATAAGGTGAGCAGCACAGGGGTAGTGATGGCAGACAGGTCCCATTGACAGTCCAGTGACCATCAGAGAAAGGTGAGACAAGCCAGGTCCGAGATTAATCTGGAAAATCCTATCAGGAAGTCAGGACAGCAGGGCTGTACACAGGTACAACTACAACATAGCTCAGGCAAGGATGCTTATGCCTGGGCCTGAGCTTCTATGCAGCTCTTGGGCAAGCAGGCAGAGGGTGCATGTGTAGAGGATGTCCTAGTTGAGGTTGATCAGGGCTGTTAAAGCCCCTAGTAGTAATCGTGGCGAGTAGTAGTGGTATAAAACAGGAACTATGAATATTGTGAATGCTTTTATGAGAAGTTACACTGTCCTATTAGCAGATTTTTCCTCTCCTGATAGGTTGTAAAATGTTCTGCTGCTGCTTCTTTATATGCCCTTCCATACCATCACCAAGATTCACTGTGTGTTTGGACTGTCACAGGATGTTTTTACCTGAGAAGGGCATAGTTATGTGGGAATGGTATATGATCTCATTTTCTTGTTCATCTAATGGATCTAGATCTGGGCATCACATTCTTAACTGCTGAGAGACCGAAAAAGTCTTAATATTTAAAACAGATTCCACTAAGAATCAGTCAGTGGCTCTTAGCACTGAGCACATGCCAGGTCTGGAATAAGTCTGGTTATTCCAATTGTGGTTACAATCTGGCACAGGAATCAGATATTCTCTGCTGATGTTTACAGCTGCTCTTGTGCCTCCATACAACCCAGAGATACTCTAGGTTATGGATTGAGATGTCTCATCTAGGATTCAGCAGTCTCCATAAATATGCGGTTTCCTGAGCAAGCTGCTGCTGCTTGTCTAAATGAAAATAGTGGCTCTCAATCCTTCATGAAAATGTAACTGCTTGCTACGTGCTCCCTCTTAAGTGAAGTATGTACAGTATGTAAGTTGTAAATGCTATCCCAACTTGGCAAAGTTTTGAAAGGTTGCACCTTTTAAAAGAGCTGCTACAAAGTTGACAATACTCCTCAGCATCTTTACATTCCAAACAACAAAGTAATTGAAATCTGGTGATCACTTTTAAATTATAATGAGTGCTAGAGTATTAATTGCTGGGTCTGTTACTTAACTGCCTATCTGTATTGTAGCTAAAGCAGACGGTACGAAGATGACACAAAGAATTCGAGTGGAGTCTCCCAAAGTGGATGCTGTCTTTGTTGGAACAGGAGACTTGTTTGCTGCTATGCTTTTGGCATGGACACACAAGCATCCAAACAATTTGAAGGTGTGGGAGAAGTTATTAGTCTTTGCAAGTTTAGATTGTATTTCTTTTATTTTTAACTACTTTTAATCTATCACATTATTTAAAGAGTCTTTTCCGGTTTGGCTTTTTTTTCCTTACCTCAGAGGAAAAAAATCGAATTGCCCTTTTGCCAAAACATTTTAGCTTGTACAACTTCAGATGGTCACATTTCAGTTATATGGACTTTGTAATTTTGCCAAATAAGATAATGTTCTCCCTAGAGAGAGAGCGCCTGCATACATGTTTGTAATTATATTTTTTACCTTCATTTCATAATAAGCAGTGAAAATCATTTATCAGATCTACTTTTCTGTTTCTTTTCCTTAAGCACATAGAGTCCTTGTTACGGGAGTATGGTTTATAATACCTATTTCAGGAGAATTAAGGTCGTCTAATTTTTTTTTCCACAAAACTCATTACATAGTTGTCATCCTGTTTGCATCTTGTCAGTCATGTTTGCCTCTTAATAGCAATGGTTTTGAAACAATAATATTAAGCTAGGCAGCTGAAATTTTGCTAAAACCTGAATATACTATGTTAATGCAGGTGGCATGTGAAAAGACTGTGTCAGCCATGCAACACGTTCTGCAAAGGACCATTAAGAGTGCAAAAGGTAATTCGTTCAAACTTTTTCCCTTGTTCTGTCTGGGTTTGCACCAGAAGAAACATTCAAAGAGCTTTCTGGGTTTCCCGACTAAAGGCAGCCCTCAGTGCAGAAGCAGCCAGAGAATTTACAAGATGAGAGCTTGGTAGCCTTGTCAGTCCGTGTTCCTTACTGTGTCCTCCAAGACTATTTTTGACAGCACCCGACTGAAGATGTCACTGTTCAGCTTGTAGTGGGAGTACAGTCACGCTGACTGTGCTTGACTGCTTTGCAAAACATCGGTGGAAGAACTTGGGGAAAATGCTGAGTTTGAAGTGCAAGAGAGCTTCTGTTTGAAGTGTAGCTCGCTCACTTTCCCTTTGAGTGCATGTTTAGTATTGAAAGGGGTATGTCAACTAGTCACAAACTGTTTGCTGTGTTGGCTGTGTGAGGAGCAATTTTTTTTTTTTTTTTTTTTAGCTTCTCTCCCCTGGGAGTTCGCATGTCTTTCAATTCCTATGGAGATCTAGATGGGATCTGTGGGTTCTGGGAGCATGTCTCTGTCACTTTCTGTCGAAATTTAGGCCAGCTGGCAACTGAATGCCACACAGCCCTTTGCCCACTCTCCCCCGCCCCC